TTTGGAGGGGTGGGGGGTGTGTGTTCATTTTAGTTCTGTATTTGTCCTCTTAGTCCATACTGATCATCTTAGTCCGTAATGGTCCATTAGTTTGTACTAGTCCTCTTAGTCATTTTATTCTGTATTGGTCCTCTTAGTCTATACTGGTCATTTTAGTCCGTAGTGGTCATCTTAGTCCGTACTAGTCATCTTAGTTCCTACTTGTCATCTTAGTCCTTAGAATTGGTCATTAGAATTGGTCATTAGAATTGGGAGTTTGGAAATTTGGATGAAATTTGGATGAAATTTGGATGAAATTTGGGGGGGAGGGGGGAATTTGGATTTGTTCAAATTGGAAATAATTCAAATGCATCCGATATTTAGATACATTTGAATTTGGAAATTGGAATGCATCCGCATGTCTGAATTTAAAGAAATGTGTCCAAATTTCAATTCGGAATGAAATGAAACTTACATGTCTAATATTTATACAACAATTTTTTTTTTCAGGATCCTTTGAGGTTCCCCCAAACTTCCAATAGCATCCCAGAAAGCTCTTCATAACTTGCTATAGAATGGTTGGAAACAAGACTGTCACAGAGATTTTTCTACTTGGCTTCCAGCTCTGTGCACCTTATAACACCGTCTTTTTTACTTTGTTTCTCATGGCTTACCTAATAACTCTAACCGGTGATCTCCTCATCATTACACTTGTCTCCACAAGCCAACGGCTACAATGCCCGATGTTTTACTTTCTCAAACATCTTTCCATCTCTGAGATCTTGTTCACTGCTAACATTACCCCTAATATGCTTCACGTCTTATTGAGAAATGGCAGTGTCATGTCCCTTGCAGGATGCATTATTCAGTTCTATGTGTATATCGCCTCAGGTAGTGTAGAGTCTGTTCTGCTAACAATCCTGTCCTATGATCGGTACATGGCTATCTGTAACCCTTTGAGATATGCTGAGATAATGAATCTCCAACTCTGCCGGACTCTTGTTTCTGTCTCCTGCTTTCTTTGTTTTACAGTTGTCTTAACAACAGTAATTCTTCTTTGTCAGCTGGACTTCTGTGGGCCTGACATCATTGACCATTTCTTTTGTGATTTTGATCCGCTTGTGGATCTTTCTTGTTCAGACACCTCGGTGGTGAGAACAGAAGTTGTAATCCTCTCCGTCCCTGTGGTGGCCTCCACGTTTTCATTCATTATATGGACGTACATGTATATATTTATAACCATCTTCAGGATCTCCTCCTCTGCAGGGAGACAGAAGGCCTTCTCCACTTGCAGCTCACACTTGGCTTCAGTATGCTCATATTATGGTCCTCTTATTGTAATATACATGGTGCCTTACCGAAGAAACTCCTTTAACACGAACAAGTTCTTATCAATACTGTACACCGTGCTGACCCCATTGTTTAACCCATTAATTTACAGTTTAAGAAATGAAGAACTTTGTCTTGTCTTATGGAAACTTTTGAGACTCAACACAACAGCTTAGTTGTCTAATAGTGCAACAACGAGGTCATGGGTTCAAATCCTATCACAACCATTGAGTTTGTATGATTTATCTATTGTTAGGGAGTTTCTTCTTGGTATACTTTCACAGACCTAAGACCAAGAGGTAGGCTAAATAGTGTCTGCATACATTGAACCAGGAGCCCTGATTCCCAATCAGGAGCATGAGAGCCCCACGTGGTCTTTTGGTGCTTAATGTGTGGCTCCGGGGTACCATCTGCCAGTATCGAGAGTTTAACAATTGATATTTAAAGGGGTTGTAGGGGCAGTGATCTCTAGCCATTTCAGGTAACATGTCCTCAGTCTGTTTCTTTATCTACTTATCTATTTTATCTATGTTTGGGGAGGTTCTTCCTGGTATACTTTCACAGGTCTAAGACCAAATGGAAGGCTGAATAGCTTCTTTATGCATTGAACCAAGAGCCCTGGTGCCCAAACCTGGGGCTTGAGAGCCCCACATTGTCCTTTGGTGGTTATTGTGTGGCTCCCGGGTACAACCTGCCTGTACTGAGAGTTTGACAATTGATATGCAATGGGGTTGTAAGGGCAGTGATCTCTAGCTATTTCAGGTAACATGCCCTCAGTCTGTTTATTTCTTTGTTGTTGTTATTATTATTATTATTATTATTTTTATCATTATCATTTTAATAAAACATTGTTTTTCACCCATTTTTTACCCTCTCACTTTATTGCTCTGGACAAGTTTACTGACAGTGACAATAGTGGACCATGTCTGCACAATGTGTTTCTGCACAGCCCTTTGTATTCTCCATCAGGAATGCATGTGACAGAATGACAACATAGAACAGCAAGTAGGAGGCCATGTGCCTGAACACTTCATTGGCATGAGGGAATATTTCAAAGAAATCTGCAGATTTGTGTAACAATATTTTACCGTTAAGGGAGGCCAGCTCTTCCTCGTTTAGAGAAGATAAGGATACGGTTTCTAAAAAAGAGGAACCGGCACAATCATCCCCTCCTTCATGTTTATATAGATTTTGATAAAAATCGCTAAAAAGTTTGCATATGGCTGATGGTTTCGACTGTATCTTGCCCTCCTCATCTAACAATTGAGTAATGTGTGTGGTAGCTAGTTTGCCTCTCGCCAGATTGGCCATAAGTCTCCCTGACTTGTTCCCAAATTTGAAAAGGTCCAGATCTTTGGGTGACCTAATTATCATTTCTAGTTGGCGGAGCCAGTGGTCACAGTCTTGTTTGGCTGACAGCCAAGAGGCTCTAGTGGTTGGTGTGGGGTCCTGTTTTTAATCTAGATAGGTACGCCTGGCTGCCGTGGTCGCCTCCACATATCTACTCCTGATTAGCTTTTTTCTAGAGATGGCATATGCAAGAATATACTGTAAAGAGCAGACTTCATAATTACCTGCTTTGGCACCTGTTCATGGAATCTCTGCCCCGATTCATAGCTTTGAGCTTCTGAGTAACTTAGGATGGTACTATACAGTAATAGTGACCTGCAATGAATAAAAGAGATTGGGGGAATTTATCAAAACTGGAGCAAACAAATACTGGAGCAGATTTGCACTGCAACCAATCAGCTTCCCTGTCTCATTTTCAAATCTTACCTGAGCAAACTGAAGAGAGATGCTGATTGGTTGACATTGTCAACTGCTCCAAATTCTGTCTGCTCCAGTTTTGATAAATTGCCCCATTGCATTTTACTGCAAGGTTGCATGACCAATTAAAGTTTTTAGAAAGAATGTCATCATAAGAATGTGGAAATCACTAATTTTAGGCCAAGTACATATTTTGTAGTCACATATTGGCATTTTTGTAGACTGCAGAGAGAAGGGACTACATGAAAATACATATGAGATAGATCAGTTGGAAGTAGACATGTGCCCTGCCAAAAAATTCGTTTCGTTTCGTTTTAAATTCGGATTTGTGTTATTTCGTTTTTCAGGATTCGGGTGTGAAAGTGAATTCGGATTCTGAATTCGGATTCGGACGAAATTCGGTAGCGTTAGTACGAACGTTCGTTTCGTTCTCTGTTCTTATTCGTTTCTTATTCGTTTCTTATTCGTTTCTTATTCGTTTCGTTCGTTTGCAGCAAAAGTGACATTTGAGGGGGAAAAAATATTTTTCTCCTTCTCTGTCACTTTGCTCCAACGAACGAAACGAATAAGAAACGAATAAGAACAGAAAATGAAACGAACGTTCGTGCGAACGCTACCGAAATTTCAGAAATGGAAATTCGGATTCGTTTGCATTCGTTATGTCTGTAATTCGGAATTTGGATACATCCGAATGTCCGAATTTACGAAAATTCGTCCGAATTTCGATTCGGAACGAAACGAATCGCACATGTCTAGTTGGAAGCTTTTGAGCATATTTCTATGACCTGTGCTGTGGCTGTCTTGATTAAAAATAGAAGAACCCCCCTCCTTTTCAATTTAGCCCTGGAACCACTATCCAGATCTCTGTCATCATCCTCACTCTTCTCCGGCCTTCACGTAGGCACGGAAGACCTGAAAATTGCCCTGTTTGCAGATGATATTATTCTCCTGCTCTCGGATCCCTCTACCCAAGTCCCCAGAATTATGAATCATATAACTAAGTTTGGTTCCTTCTCAGGATTGAGGATCAACTTTCATAAAAGTGAGCTTTTGATGCTACCCAATAGTGCCCCCCTCGTTACATCCGCGTGGCCCACAAACTGCACTATCTCAATTCAGAAACGTTCCATTACCTATCTAGGGGTCCACATCTCAGGGTATGCCACTGACTTGTATCACCTCAACTATAGCCCGTTGTTTAAAAAAATTACTCAGGAACTTCACAGATGGCGTGACCTACCACTCTCTATTATGGGCAGATGCCACCTTATACGCATGATAAGCTTTGCACGCCTCCTATATCCCATGCAGACCATACCTCTCCTTATCAGACATAAAGACATTAGCACCTTACACACAGCATTCTCTAAATTCATATGGAGGGGAAAGCGCCCCATAATTGCGCTTCATAGACTCCAATCTCCGGCACACTCCTTGGGCGCTAACATCCCGGACATTAGAATGTATAATTTGGCTAGTCTGTTTCGACATGTGCGAGACGGCGAGACTGGTTACATGACACTTCCTATTTCACAAACACATCACTTGAATCGCTCTCGGTGGCTCCATGGTCTTTATCAGGTATTATACATACCCCTTGGAAATCTCTTCCCCCGACTATTAAGGGCAACATTCTAATGCGGGATACTATACTTACGTGGAGGGAAGTAAGAAAACTTTTGAAGATCCCGGGGGTGGTCTCTCCCCTGTTACCCATTGCCTCCTCACCAGCATTCCCCCCAGGTAGCGACTCCAAAGTTTTTTCTGATTGGCGTTCCAAAGGCATCAATAGGATCGAGGACTTGCTATCTACCAATGGGCACTGCAAATCATTTCAGGAGCTGCAGACTTCACATCACATCTCCAGCAATCACTTCCTTCAATATGCACAAATCCAACATTTTATTAATAAACACCTGCCAATGCCCTAGTGACGACTCTCTCTATGCCCTCTCAGGACCCTTCTATCTGCACCTGAGAACAAAATGCCCCTGTCCTCCATTGTCGACACCATTCGCACCACGGTATATTCACATGCTCCTACTACCTACCACAAGCAGGTGATTAAATGGGCCGCCTTTCTCCAAATATCACCGGAAGAAGCAGATGACATGCTACTCTCCGGCTGGCGGGCAGTACGGAAAGTCATAATTAGTGAGACATGGAGAGAGCTCCAGTTTAAAGTCATACACAGAGCTTATTATGCTTTCAATCTAAAATACAAGTCCTCTCCCCCGGATTGGTTGAACTCCTGCCCCAAGTGCCAATACCCATATCCAGATTTAGAGCATCTGTTTTGGAAATGCCCTCATATACAGCAATTCTGGGATCACTTGGTAACATACATGAATGCCCATTCAGGCACTAACAGAAGTCGAGACCCGGCCATGTGCATTTTTCATGCTCTCGGACCCACACAATTAACGTCAACCAATAAATTATCACGATGGGAGCATTTGTGTATCCTTGCAGGGAAAAAAGCCATTTTAACGAATTGGCTCTCGCCGACTACCCCCTTTCTGAAACAGCTAGCAGACATACTTTCCAAATTAATGTCGCTAGACAAGCTTGACGCTCACTACCACAGCCAGTCTACAGCGAAATTTTTTAATACGTGGACATCGTTCCTTACATCATCCCTATCACCCACTCAGTTGATAGAAGTCATGGAAATGTTCAAAGACACGGTCTGGTATCACACCACAAAATTAGACGGATCTCTAGGGGCCCTGGACGTCCTTTAAGGCCCTAAATGTCCAGCTTAGGTGCTTCCCAACCATCCAAGTATACTCTTACTTTACTTTATTATCATTATTATTGTTTTAATGCATTATGTGCCCACACTAGCTTCCTATACTGCCTATATTTATATTTCTCTTGTCCGCTATCATTCCCTAAGATCTCATATATACACAGCAAGAACCCAACGGGTTCAGGGGAACCAACGGTGCCAACAGGTGATTGCAACGCTTACTTAATACCTAGTCTGTTTGGAAAAGAAACAATGTTGTACCTCAGATTTGCATTTCGGTTAAATGCTTTTGTTTAAAGTGGTAATGATGACCAGTGATACCTTTAATAATATCACAATACGATATGTTATGTCTTGTTCTATTTTATAAAGTACCGTCTGCACCCTACGGGGGCGGACTGAAATGACTTGTTGTTTGTATTATGGATAAAACTCAAATAAAGACTATTTGCTAAAAAAATAAAAAATAGAAGAAATGCCTGTGTGGACTGTCGGACATCTTTAAAGCAGTTTCTATAGTCTGCATACTCATTTCTCTGGGTAATTCCCTATAGGTCCACTGACCTGCTAACAGCTTAGTACAGTTGGTTAGAGCTTGGTGCTAATAAAACCAATTTCACGGGTTTGATCCCCATATGGGCCATTATCTCTTTCTTC